CATTATCTCAATATAATGTATTCACATAGTTTTAATTTGCTAATAATGATTCCGAATGACTGAAAGATCACTACCAATTTCCAAAACTAATATATTATTATATATGTTTTTCTGCTCCCGTTTGTGAAATACTTAATTACACACCGTTCTAGCGTGCGGGAAGGGCCACTTCGGACATTTCCGGGAGCAATCGGATGTTTTCGGAGATATTTCCCACGCATTGAATTTTAACGTTTGTCAATTCTGACGGCCATGTCAGTGAATGTATTCGTGTTGTTTTGCGAAAATGTACCCAAAAACTAACGGTCGTAGAAAAATTATAGTATGCAACACGTTCGGTAAACTTTTTAAATCATTCGTTTATTAAACACTCGCTCCGCTCGTGTCAAATAAACTTGTGAGTGGAATGCCGTTTACCGCACTTATTGCATAATATAGTATTTTTCTAATTAAAAAAAACTATTTTTTTTTAATTCAACAACCTGTATTGGGTGGTTTAGAAGTTATGGCCAATTTTCTGCAAACAATTGGTGTTTTTTATTTTAAATCTGTATAATAACCTCTACTAATTGATTATTTAAATTCAATACAAAATCAACAAGTAATGCAAGTAAATACAACTTATTATTACTAATTACAAAACGTTTTCGAACCGTAAACTCGTAGTTATTGTTAGAAGATATCCATGGAAAAAAAGAATTAGTAAAATTATTGGCTTGACAGAAATACACAGTTTTATTTGACACCAACTTTTTTAAAAGAAAAAATGTCATTTTACAGTGTTCAAGGGCGTTTAATAAAAATAATAAGTTAAAAAATAAGAGTCAAGCAATAGCCCTAAGAGAATATAGAGAATAGGTTGTATCCTGCAAGACGGGAACCACGAAACATATTTTTTCACGAAATGAATTTGTTTGCCATTTTGGATTGGTCGGTACCGAAGCATAGATTAGTCAGCGGGGACCCCTGACTTGACATTTATGGACTTATTTTATGGAGTTTCATAAAAACGAAGTGTATAAATACAGGTGTAATAGTGTTAAAAATGAAAAGTCTGCAGGAGGCTTATACTACTTGAATTGCGAAAGATGGAGTTTATGTAGAAAATGTTTTGTTAATAATAAGTTCTATTTACTTACATTACTTGTCGATTTTATATTGAATTTAAGTAATTAATGTTTAAAAAAAGCTTAGTCAGAATAGGATATTATATAGGGTTTAGTTAATTTAAAGTAAAGTTGTTGTGGAAAACTAACCAATAAAAGCGCTAAATACAGGTTGTTTCATTTTACAAAAATGGTTTTTTTTAATTAGAAAAAACATTTTTATGGTCACTTGTGAACACCCTGTATAATATAATTTCGCCAATATTGACTACTTCCGTGGATCAATAATAAAAATTCTCAATTTTAGTTTTCAAGTGTAAAAAACACATTTTTCCAAAGTCCCGTATTTCCGCAAAAACAATGGAAAGGTTTATTTTTCTCAAAAAATATAAACATTTCGTTAATGAAAAAAAATACTCAAAATTAAGGGAATAATTAGAATTTTTAAGAATATTAATAGCATTCCATCAAAAAAAAAGTTGGTTACTGCCCAGACACAACGGAACACCCTGTATACATAAAAATAATGTTAATAAAATATATACTTGGGGGCAAACACTTTTTGTATTTAACTTTTTTCCCTCAGTGTCGAACTTATTGAGATAAGGTATAGGAGCGTTTAAAATGGACCACCCTGTACAAACCATCAAAACAGTAGAAACGTAACTAGTTTGCCATTCATAACAATTGTTTGTTTATTTTGACTGACCAACCAACTAAATTGTAATTAAATTGATTTTTAATTGTCCTGACACATTTTAATTTAAGTCTACGCTCCTCATATGTTTTTATTACACTTCCATGTAAAAATAATAATTTAACCCACAAGAGCAAAAACATCTAGGACGAACATTCGTGGACGAGAAAAGAATTCTCTTCAGGAGTTTTGCTTTACATGGAAAGCTGATAAATAAAAAAATATAAATCTCTACAAAATATATCGCACTTTTAATAAAAATAGATTTAATTATTGTGATACCCACCAACTTTCCCTTATATGGCGCCATCGGACGAAAGTCAGACATTTTCCCTAGCGCGGAAACGCCATTATGTTACATGCGCCATTGAAATTCTTCGACTAATAATTAATTTTACATAAATTTATTTCAACCAAACTGTTTTGTATTTAAATACATTGTTATATTTATTTATTATTAAGCCATATATGAATTTTCCATTTACTAATTTACTATTGACTTCTGATAAAAAATTAAATTTAAATTTATTGCCATGCAAACTCGCAGGAAACTATGCTCTTGGTATGAAAACCCGCTATATCTAGATATTTCCATTATTAGATTAAATTCCACTTGGATAAAAATGGCGTATAAAACTTTTTTTGTTTAAGGTACCATCGATGGCTGTTTAAAAATACGACTTCAAATTATTCACATTAAAATACCGATAAATCTTTTGTCACTCGAAATCTACAATCTACAGTGTATGTTTGGGAAGTTCTAGACAAAGTCCCGGTTTATTTTTATTCGACACTGTAAGAGGCGCTTATCTGACATTTTTCAAATTCTTCGACGATATATTTATTTACCAAGCTGCGTCCGCTTTTACTCCAATTATGTCTGTTCGTTCTGAATACGTAACATCGAGGGATTTTATACTCAAGTAAGACCTGTTTGCATTTATTACTTTAATCATTAGATATACTAAAAAGTGTTATGGTTGCGTGATTTCATATTGATACGTTTTTTAGCGAATATTATTAATACAAAATTGATACTATATTTGAAGTGGATGGAATTTGATACAAAATATAAAATTCTTTGAAACGAAATCAAATACCACGGTGTACAAAAATTCTTTCCTCTTTTATTTTTACCACTGCTTAAACCGTCGCGGTCAAAAATCCAGACAATTGGAAGCAAACTTTTGTTAAAATTAATTATTGTTGATATTATAATATATTTGAAATAATTAAACACTTTAAACCTTTATGTTTGTTTATGAGAATGTACCCAAAAAGTAATGGTCGTAGAAAGAGTATAGTATGCATCACGTTAAACTTATTTACTTACACTGATCAAAACAAGCTCGTTACTAAAGTGTCCCTTATAAAATTTTGTAGAATTTTGAAAAGAAAATAAAATAGTGGTGAAAAAATTATACGCATTCAAGAGCACCTACATACATATTCGCTTTTTCCCAAAGTAATACCAATATTTAATTAGCGGAGAAATGGCCAATCGAAATTTATTACCAATTAAAAAGCAAGTTGTTAATACTAAAACTAATTCACTTGAATTTATAAGCATGTAGGATTAAATATTTCTATGGTTCAAAAATTTAGCGCAACTGCAATCGATGACACCATAAATCAAAATTTGTTTCATTAGTTTAGTTAAGATACCTAATGGAATATCAGGGGCAAATATCTCGCAAATGACTTAATATCGATATAATAATAATAATAATAATAATAATAATAATAATAATAATAATAATAATATAATAATAATAATAATAATAATAATAATAATAATAATAATAATAATAATAATAATAATAATAATAATAATAATAATAATAATAATAATAATAACAGATTCTGGCAGAACATTTGACGCAAATCGAGAACTTTTGCCAAATGATATAATCCTTGTGTTGGGAAGGGCACCGTTTTCTTGTAAACTGCTTTTAAGATCCATTTTTCAATTTTTTTCTAATTGATCTATTAGATACAGAGATGCACCTCCCCAAATGTATAATAGAGCAGTTTTAATTGTGTCTCGTTTAAGATCAAAGACAAAAACTTGAATCTCGCTTTTTCACAATATATGCGATCTGCGATGGGACCAAGACATAATTTTATAAAAAATAAAAATTACTATTTATTGGCATGAAAAATTACTACTTTCTTCTAAAGTAAAGTCAAAACTATCTCAGCTTCGCAGGATAAAAAATTATGGAACAAGTGAAGTCCTCTAGGAATTGTTTCAAGCTTCAAACTAACATTCAATTCGGATTCCTTACCTTCGTAAACGCTAATACCAAATTTTGAATTTTCCATTTCGAAATTATTATAATTTTTGGAAAATTAATTTTCATTTTTCAACCACAGTATGTTTTCAACGATCATAAGTTGTCACCACATTTAGGTTATCTATTTGAATCTGCTGCCCTCTGGCGGATAACTTATGGGACATCCTGTAACATTGCAGTATGTTTTCAAAACTTATACGGCAAAACAAGTTCAACTTACAAGATTTTGAGTACTGAAATAAATTAGGGTTAAATTCAACAAATAAATACTTAACGACAACAAGGGCGACGCAAATTATGTCCATCCACGATTTTTAGTTAGGTACCTTATGAAATATGAATCACGTTTCCTCGTCAAATTGCGTTCCGTTGTTAATTTCGACTGAGAAGCCGGCAGCCCCCTTTTCCGAATTTCGGTAAACACCAGGGAGGGCTCGCGAGGGTTGCCAGTGGCGTGGAATAAATTTTCACTGCTCGCGAACCCACAGTTTAATAGAAAGTTTATATGTGTTACGTCCGACTGACCACTGTCACAACTGCAATTGTTCGAATGATATAATTTTGAAAAATAGCGATTTTCGTACATGCGAAAGCGTTGCATGATTATCCGAGGACATATTCGACTCCTGAGACGCCACTGCCCAGCTGATGCATCATCCCCCTGGCGAAAATGCACCCGATATAATACTGAGCTGGTGAATCATCCTGAAATTAAATTCGACTTGTCGGATACTCGTATTCTCCAACAAAGAATTTTTTTTGTTACAATTTTGATTTTTTTTTTATTATTACCCAACAGTTTGGTTTTCGTCCTCATAAAAACACAAAGAGTATATGTAGAATAAATATTCCGCTACCAATCTCACTTCTCTTTAAATAATTTGTTAACTTATGTTTCAGATTTTGTGAATTGTCCTTGGTTGACGTGCCCACTTTAAGGAAAAGCAAAGAAGAAGACGAAGAAGATTCTGTGAATGTCTTGTGATGTGTTGTGATGCAACAGCATTTTATAAGGAGTTTAACTGAGTTTTCATAGTGCACACTAGTAACTAGTTTCGTATTATGAGATTTCTCAATTCAAGAATGCAAAAACATTGTTTTAGAATATGCACAAGTGATGTAAACAATTTACGTCTTATTGCTCAGACGTACTCGTTATGGTGTTCTCTACTTCTTAGTCAATAGAGCTACATAGGCCTTCCTTTATAAGTATTTCCAAACACAGTTATGCATTGTTTCTAAAAGAACTTGATATTTTTGGCTTGAGAAGCAATTTTATCATTCTATCAACAAATTCTCAGAAGCTTTTGAAAATAAGGAAAAATCTTTGGGGATGTTCTGTAATAGGCCCAGAACTTTTAATACTGACTGAAAAAATTATTTAGTATTATTAGGCTTGCATTAGCTTGAATTACATCTTATGAAAGCAAAAGTGTTACCAAGGAAATGAAAAAAGGGTGATGTCCCGCCGAGAAAAAGGTTTGGAGCACTTTTTGCGAAGATGTTTCTCAGCTAGTGATTGTTTTTGCTACAATAGGTGTTAAACATGATTTTAGTCTGTTAATAAATTAGATTGTTACAGATGGATAAGAACTATTGGTTCAAAATTACGACTTTGAATTGCATTCAGCAAGAACTGTTGCTGTCCCCATGTAAAGCTTCGATTTTAACATTGTGTTAGTTCAAGTTACATTTTCAGATTATTTTCTAAATATGCTTATACTAATTGATACTGTGTTGTTGGGAAATATATAACAAAAAACTTAATTTTGTTTTAACAAATGAAAATTCCCACACAATTGAGAACAAGGGGCCCAAGCGTGCCAGCGTTTTGTTCGCAAGGTCAAAAACAATGTAGGTAATTAATGTAGTTACAGCACAATATGCGTGCGGTTGAAGTACCATGCGGGTGTAGTTAATTCTCAAAGCGTTAATTCTAGGACGCGTCGTTTAGTTTGTCACATTTACTTATTTTTAAAGCACGTGACAAAATTTACGGCGTAACGTTGGATTTTGATCTATCTACAGCGCGGCGTTTATTTGCGATCGAAGTGATTGCTCAAACAGAAGCGATTGATTAAACAGATGGAAAAGAGTTTGAAATATTATGCGTTCGGATGACGACCGAAATACGTGGAATTATTTCAGCCAACCCTTCGTCGTCGCCAGGCACTGAACTCTGGCAAAGGTCACGTATGCAATTTGATGTCAAGGCGTCGCCGGTCGGCCAAAGCGGCATTGCAGCCAAACCATCAATCTTCGCCGCACTCTGTCGTCAGTGTTATACGCATCAATTAGCGACACACATTAATTAATAATCGGCGGCAATGCTTATGAGGACGCGGCGTTTCCATTGATAATAATGACGACGCATTGCGATACAAGTAGCGTACTGCTCCTTTAAATCGATAATAAAAAAAAAGCAGGATAGAGTGACTATTTTTTTTTGAAAATATAATTTTAAAATATTTTAAGGCATAAAGAAATTGTAACATTTTACTGGCTGTGAAACAAAAGGTCAAAACGTATAACATAAATAAATACATAAATGGTTTGATATTAATGACTAGAGATTAACTGCAAAGTCTGATGACAATGATGAATGAATGAATGTTTTCTTGTATAACGAGAACGTCTGAAAATTTCAAGACAATATTCTACAGCCCTCACCCGATAAATATTTTGTTTAATGCTATAAATACGACGCCAATGTGCCTAGCAATTAATAATATGAGCCACATCTCCACTTAGTTAGACTCCAGTTAGACTCTCGCATTTACATAAGCCAGTCGAAATAAGTCATTATCATAGGAACGATACTGGGTAGGAGAAAACTAGGGAGAATAGTATGCCTAGCGCCTGTGCGGGTTCCTTTAAATTCATTTTAAAAAATAATAAATTGATTTATTTAAATTTATTCTGGCGATCACCACAAAACAATTATATGTATATTTAATATTTTATTTCTAATTTCTATGTATTTATTGCAGGGATTGATAAATAATACTTAATAACAATATGGTCTTATATTTAAATCATCGCGCATAAATGTATGCATTCAGAACAATCATATTGGCCACTTCTTAATTGACTAATCAAATTCTATCGAAATGTTTTAAATTACATCTTCCAATTGTAGAGTGCTATCTATCATCATACCCGAATACGATACTTAACGATTCTGATTTAGTTCTGAACACGCACAATATAAATAAATATAAATTTGACTGTATTATTAAAAATTATTTCGGACAATCCCAAACCTATGATATTAATTAATTACAATTGTTTTATTTAAATACAATATATTATTAAAAATGTGAACTAATCAAAATAAATATTTTCCCAACTAGTGTAAGAAATTCAGAAAAAAAAAACACGTTTATTAAAATAAAATATTAACACATTTTTATAAAATTATTAGAATGTGAAAACGCAAAAAGTGTTGCTCGCGAAATCGGAAAAGTACATTAAAGTTCATAAAATGTCTACTTTTCAAGAAAACATATTTTTTTATTAAACTCTACCTCAATAAGTCTTCAATTCGTCGCAACTTTGATCGAAATAAATATGCATTCCTTTAATTTTTAGTAGTTTTGGTTAGTTGTTAGGCTTTTTTGGTATGGAAAAAAGGCAATACTATTGAACATTAAGTTATAACAGAGAATTTCCTTTAAAAAATACGCGCTGGGAACGTATCCAAACTCTTCACCCTGTATTTGAAACCCGGCCGGGAAATGAACTGAATCGCACCCTCCGTTGGCAAACTAGTATTTGCTTCCGGTACTCTATTATTGGGATTGACAATATAAAGATTGTTTCTTGTCAAAGGCCAGATGTTTCACGTTTCAAACTGTGGACTTCGGTCTTTTCAAAAGTAAGACACTTTTTATAAAGTTGGTATTATTCGATCGCTTTTTTCTGTTATCTCTTTTTATTTAGAAGCAATTTTGTGAGTCATAATTAAACAGACAAGAAGTTAATAAACTCACTTGAAAAGGTGCTAGATTTTGCCACTAGTAAAAGATATATGCTTATTCAACGAAATTTTATAACAGGTTTAATGCTGGGAAGATGTGAACTGTATATTTTTCTCCATACACAAACTGCAGGCTCAAACATGTCGGCGATCTGTACGTATATGGACAAATTTTAACTGACGACATGTAAATCGACAGTTCTACATTGCAGGCGAACTGCATATGAATGGGTACCTTAAGACAGCGCTCGCAGTACCACCGCTGACAGGCAACAAATAACGAAAACCCGACATCTTCAGACCAGATGCCCCACGTGTTCATATCATGCTTAAAATAGGTAAGAGCCGAGTCCAGTATGAATACCAAGAAGAATAGTCATAAAACTCTTTATTCCCCTGAACTGTAACAGGGACAAGTTACACACACAGATAATAGACTACATAGGCAACATGTAAGAGACCTTTGAATTTAACAGCCAAAAACCCAATCTAAATAGCTTGACAGCAATATTTACCGGGAAATTAAGTGCGAGCGGTAACCTAAAAATGTTGAACCATAACAGTTGACTTGGTCATACCGAATCATCCGAGTACATGGAACTGCTGTCTTCCGCATCGCACTCGTAACCGGAAATTTTGCAAGTCCTTTTGACCACCGGCTCCGAAGACCTGCTCATCCAAGACATGGCTTTCGAGATCCTTACGTTATAACGCAACCAAAAAACTATAAGAATTTATGAAGTACCCACCGGAAAGGGCAACCGCGCACCCGAAGACATTTTTAAAGGCGGCCGCGCCAGCGTAAACGTTGTAGTACGGACGAATTCGACGAGCAACTAAGCAAACCGAAACTAAAAGTCTGGCTGCTTGCATAAGAAAACAGAGTAGGCAGTAACTTACTCACTCGCACTCGTACGGGCACACGCGTCACCCACTGCACGATGTGGCAAGCCGGGAATCTTTCTCCGTGTAGTTGAATTAGTCATAAAGAGCCCTGTCGAGAATATTATCGGCTGCTTATAATATTATCCTGGCGTGTTTTTGTTTTCAAATTTATAACTAAAAAAATATAATTTACAGTTTGCATTGTTTGTAGAATTTAATAGAATCAATTTTTATCACCTCGTAAAGCTATAATCTCAATATAAGTATCTAATTATGGAAATTTTAATCAGAAAACATGAATTACAAACAGTAAAATTAAAAAAAAAACGAATAAATTTGTGGCAACTTAAACGAGACCGGATTAGCTTACACTTTACTTAAAGCCTCCCAATAAAACTTAAAATAGAAAACATATATAGGTACATATCAATGTCATCCCGTGTAATAGAAAATTTGAAAATCAATCACAGAAATTGTAGTTTCATTTTTTTTAACTTATCAACTAACTTCTATTATGTGTTACAACACAAAGAGAAATAGTTAGTTTTGTTGATCAGTAAGACTACCAGAATATAATTTTTAGAAGCATTAATACGATAAAAGATGCGATCCCACTACTCACTACTACTAACTAGAGTCTGGCAGTAGTAGTACTTGTAGTACTAGTACGATGTTGTAATCTACGTGCAGACAAACCATTAATGATAATGAATACCAAGGACAACAGGCAATCAGTCAGGCTACTATTCTTACTTGCTAGATGAATACCAACCAATCGAACAAGCTGGCTTCTGAAAGGGCTATTCAACATCAGACCACTTATTAACCATGAGAATACTGATAGAAAAATACGAGTACAAATTTACACTCGATTTGCCATTCATAGATTATGAAAAAGCATTCAAGCAAAAGAATTGAAGGATTGACAGTAGATACATTAGCCTAATACAAAATACAATGAATCAGTCCCAACCAGAACGAACACAGAAAACCAGTGAATATAGAAAGAAAATAAGGCGACAGTCTTCACCTTGGTCCTACAAGATATATTCAACGAACTGAACAAAGGCGTAAACATCAATCGAAAACGCCTCAATAACCTATGGTTCGTCGACGATATAATTCTAACAGCTAATAACGTAAGAGAATTGCAAGAAGTTCTAACAGAGCTGCACACCTAGTCCGGCAAGGTTGGTTTGAAGATGGAAATTGAAAATACTAAGGTAATGTACACGGAACAAAATGACACAAAGATAGACAACAAGAAAATAGAGGGGGCCGCCTGAGCCAAAAAAATTGGTCTCAATAGAGATATCTAAACGGAAGAAAGCGAACACTAGCTTGGGCTGCCTTCGTAAAACTAAGCTATATGCTAAAGAATCAATAAATTCTACTACATTTAGGAACTCAAGTTTTTGACACATGCATTTTGCCAATACATACGCATCACAAACATGGACCAAAGGGCAATGCTGGGAATATCTCTTACAGATAAGAGGACAAATACATGGATAAGACAAAGAACAAGGATAACCGACGTAGTGCACAAAGCCTTAAGACTGAACTGGGAATACGCAAGACTAGAGAAACGAATAAATGGTTAGTTAGAGACCATACGAATTTCGAACACCCAGGGGAAGACCACCAATGAGATGGACGGATGATTTGAAACTAATCGCCGGCGGTACAAACAGCCTCTAGCAGAAGAAAATGGAAGAAGGAATTTGCAGAGGCGTGGATTTGAAAACGCTAAAAAAGAAGAAATATGTGGGATGTATGCA